GAATTTGTGGGCTCATCTTTAAAATAACTGGTAGAACAAGGTTCTTTGCAGACTTTTGTGGACATTTAGGTTTTATTTGGTGGGTTCTTGCTGGCCCAGATTGTCAGTAGGACCCTTGGCTTAAAGTGCAGGGAGGTGGTGGTGAGGGGTGGAAATGCTAAATCGATTAGCTACGAGCATGAGGACTCTTGCTTCTGCTTCCATTTCACTGACTCACTGCTGGAGAAAAGCAGTTCAGGTTTCAGTTGTAGACTGCCCAGTAAACAGGAGCCTGCTGGGAGGTTGCAGGATCAGTTCTCTCTCAGCTTTGATCTCAGTGGTGAGAGGGAGGGGGCTGCAATCCATCAGCTTCCCTCAGGGTTTGCTGGCCCTGAGTTCTCTCTGTTCAGAGGAGAGCAGACAGGCTGTCTAGGTGGGACTTTAACCCTTAGGGAACTGGCTAATTTCGAAGTGCTCTAACAGTTTAAGCAAAGGCCAGGTGCGAGGATTTCAAGGAAGAGTGATGAGCCAGGAGGGTTTCCAGCTATCAGAGGAGATAACTTGCTACTCGGCCAGTCCCAGCCTTCTGTGCAAGAAATCAGCTTGCCTTTCTGCTGTGCCCCCTCTTTTCCCCACTGCTAGTTCTCCACCCTTCCTTCTGGAACTTGCAGTGAGGAAGCTAGGCAAGGGGTGCAGAAGATCTGGGAAAGCGCTAGGGTGTCTCTATGCAGAGAGGTGGAAGAATGCATCACTGGTCTTAGTAGTCCTGTGTCCCATCTCTGACAGTGCCCAATGCCTTACAATGCAGGGGGACAGCCTTCCCCTCCTTACCTATAATGTATTTGTGTAGGGGTGATCCCTACTGTTCTAAATGGGGTTACTGCATGCAATGCACATACCAAGCTTTTCAATGGCAGCAGAAGCCCGAGGGCTTAGCCATGTGTGCAATCCTCCCCCAGTTGGTGTCCTTAATCCCATGGTCATTCCTGCCACGAATCAGCCGCTGGCTAGTGAGGCAGTGACTGCTGCTGCGTATCTTCAGACAGGAAGATGACAACATGGTAACTAGCTTCAGATGTGGGCCCTTGGAAAGGCTGGTGCCAGGCTGCAGCCAGAGAGAGGTTTACTCTCAGCTTCCTGGGCCTTAGCGTACTGCTTTTTCAGCCACCTTGGATGATAGTGTGCAACCTCTTTGCTAGTCAAAGAGCTGTAGGGGGAGCCTTTCAGGTAGCAACTGTCTCCTCCGGCCCTTGGAATTCTTGAGACAATTGATCCTGTTTCAGGTATTTTAGTGCACGTTCTGTAATGAAGAGATGCTTGCCCAGTAGTATGGATTTACGCCATATGCTCTTCAGCGCTCCGATTGAACCCACGAGTGACAATAGATCCTGGTGCCTCTTTTGGGGCTAGAGGTGGGAGAGGCCGCATGTGAACCCATTTGACAGCTTCCTGGAGGAGCATTACAAGCTCTGGTTTCACTTTGAAGGCAAGCATCAGGAGAAAGTCACCCCCTCCCTGTCATGCTGGGGGGCTGAGCCATCATAGGCATATAAAGGAGCCTTAGGAAGAGCTAGTTTTTAAAATAAAGTGACTGAGGGGGGAGATTCCTATAAGTCACCCACTAGCCAGGTAGGAATTTGTCAGTGACTCCTTTGTGGTCACTGTTGTGGGTGAAAGGATCAACTTGTTTCCTGCTTTGGGAGTATGATGAGTTGCTTGGTCCGCACTGAGAGCTTTACCTGCTAAGCTATGTTACAGACTAACACAGTTACCTCTCTGAAACGTACCTGCTCTGAGTACCCAAGCAATTCTGGCTGACAACACACTCTTCCCACCCCCACCTGAGTTCCAGTTGCCACAGCAGTAAGCAGCAGTTTGGGTATGGGTGTCATTCAGAGGCTACTCTTCCAGGCATGCACTGTAAGGCATCCAGACGGCTGCCTCCCACTGTGCTTAATGAAGCATCCACTCTGGCAGCCAGGCAAGAACACGGGCTTGGGGATGCTGGGACAATCGCTTATTTATTTGTGAAGAATAACCACATCCCAGGCAGGTGAAAGGGCCAGTGTTTTTTGGCTGTAGTGAGACCCCTTTCTGGCTCCCTGTGTGCAACATGCTATGCTTGTGGGGAGAGGAGCTTATTCATGTGGAAGGCCCAGTGCTCAGCAGCATTGCTATTGGCAGATTCTTGGTAAGGATGGAGAGACCGATTAATCTTGGGTGGGTTTCCCTTGGCATGGGGGATGAGTGTGGCTGTAGCATGTGGCCTGTCAGTCATCAGGAGCTGATCTTGCTGCTACTTTGTCAGTACAGGACATCTCTTAGCTCCTTGCTGGCCACTAACTTGAGCTGTTTTTCCTGGTGTGAGGCCTCTAGCTCCCTCTCTTTGATATTGCACAGGTTGTTGTATTTCCCTCAAAACGCCACACACCCTGGCCTTCCAGAACAGCACCTTGCTGCAGGTAGTGAGCCTCCAGTTGGGGATGGGTGGATTTAGTTACTGTTTCTGTTCTTTATCCCCTAGGGTACGTCTAGACTACAGGGTCGACAGATACTGTCGACAAAACTTCTGTCGACAAAGAGCGTCTAGACTACATTGAGTTCTGTTGACAAAGCAAGCTGCTTTGTCGACATGGTAGTGTGGACGCAAAGGACAGTTTACATGCAATAACTCTGTCGACAGAAGGCGTTATGCCTCGTAAAATGAGGTTTACCAGCGTCGACAAAACTGCTGAGTTCTGTCGACGTTATGTCGACAGAACTCAGCGGTAATGTGGACGCAGGTATAGTTTTGTCGACAAAAGTCCACTTTTGTCGACAAAACCCTGTAGTCTAGACACACCTCTACTGCCAAACAACTTCTTCAGTAGGCTGGTGGTTTGGGAACCCAGGGACCATTTGTGAGGTTATTTTAGGCTGTGAGTCTGCTCTTAGTGACATCCGAGTCAATCCAGATTTCCGTGGTGTTACCTGTTTGTAACTGAGAGCAGGGTTCTGTTGTTCCTTTCCCCCTTAATCGCTATCATTTCCATCTTAGTTTAGCAGGGACTGATGACAGTACAGCCTGGTATCTGTTCGAGGGCTCCTGTTTATTAAATGAATTGGAGACTTTAGCCCAGTTCCTAGTGCATGCAAACCCACATCATGCCCACCGGCAACAGAAGTGGAACTGATAGGCCCCTGGGTTGGCAGGCTCAGTGGAGAGTCCTGCTACAGAAGGGACTGTGAAGTATGAACTCCCATCTCACCCCTCAAAAGGTTCCTCCAGGCTGGGGCGGGTGAATGCATGGAAAGCTTGCACTGCTGTTGCCAAAGCTGCATCTGCCCGTCATATTCTTCTCACTAACTTAGCTGTATTAAACGAACCCACTTTTCTCTTTGGTGGCAAACACCAGTGCACTCTGAGGGTATGTCTACACATCAAATTTAATTCGAAATAACAGCCGTAATTTCAAATTAACTTTAGTAGTGTCTACACAGGCAAATTGCTATTTTGAATTAAATTCGAAATAGTGGGGTGCTTAATTCAAATTTGGTAAACCTCATTCTATGAGGAGTAATACCAAACTCGAATTAGCTAATTCAAAATAAGTGCTGTGTAGACACTTATTTCGAAATAGGGGGTCTCTAGCCTTCCCAGGGTGCCCTGGTGGCCACTCCAGCCTCAACCAAGAACACTCCTCTCCCACCCCCGCCCTCCTCAGAGGCCTTAAAGGGGTAGACTATGGCCACAGTGCCTGTGCCAGCTCCAAGCCTACCGGCCCTGACCCTGTGGCCCCAAAACATGAGCCAGCAAGCCACTGGCAGCCAGCCCTCCACCCCTTCCCACG